TTCCGCGGGGACTGGCCCCTCCGTGATACCCTGGTCCATTCTTCCATCACTGCTAATGTTTCCATGCTCCCCCTTGGCCCTTCCCATGCTATCACCATCCAAGACCCCAAACACATCTTGCAGGTGAAACAGTGTATTACTTGTACTTCTTTCAATCTAGTCACTGCTCACAATGATCTCCTTTACATTGGTGAGAGTGCATGGAGACTGGATGACAACTTTGCAGAATACCTTTGCTCTCTCTGTAGAAATTACCCCAACCTTACACTTGCTTGCCATTTCACTAAATCACCTTGTTTCCATGCTAACATTTCCAACCTGCTTCACTGTTCCAATTAACCTCAACACAAGCTGGAGGAACAACATCTCATTTTCTGCTGAGGCACGTTAAAGCCTCTAGGTCTCAATATTGAGTTCCATGACTTCACAGTATAACCTCTGTACTCTATTTTTCTTACATATCCCAACATCTCACAGCCATATCTTGTTTGCCTTTTGCTGGCTGTACTCTCAGCAGAGTGTACTTATTTCCTGCTTTTCCCAGCTAACATTTATATCTATTTAGATTTCTTTCTCTCCTTTACCACTGTTGTCTTTTGCTATAGGAAGCTCACTGTCACTTGCTTCTTCTCTCCCTCTATCACATACATAAGAACCGTAATTTTCCAGCTCCTTCCAGTTCAGGAGAAAAATCAGACTGGACTCAAAACATTAACTCCATTTCTCTCTCCACAGATGCTGCCATACCAGCTGAATTTCTCCAGTATTTTCTGTTTTCATTTCAGCACCTCAGGCCAATGTTATGGAGTCGTACAGAGTATAGCGTGGAAACAGATCCTTCCTTCCAACTCATCCATGCTGACCAAATATCCTAAACTGATCTAGTCATATTTGCCAGCATTTGGCCCATATCCTCTAAACCCTTACTGTTAATGTACCGATCCAGATGCCTCTTAAATGTCATAATGTACCTGCCACCAAGAGTCATAATGCCTCCACCAAGAGACACGACTAGTTCTCGATCGTCTTACTGCACATGGACAACAAGGGATGCAAATTCAACTGGGACAACACATCCATGATCGCGCAAGCCAAACAGAGACTCGCCAGGGAATTCTTGGAGGCCTGGTATTCCAACCTGAACTCCATCAACAAACACATTGAATTAGACCCTGTGTAGAAACCACTGAGAAACAGAACCGGAAGTCATACCAACCACCCCAGCAAACCGAGGCATATAAATAGCAAGTGGGACAGAACACCAACCCTGCACTGGAGCGCACTGACAACGTTACCTAGCAGGATGACGGAACGTTTGCAGCCAAACCCACCAGCTTAGCAAGCATGTCTAAAACCTCATCCACAACCCAAGCTGCAAATGTTCTCAAACTTCACCACTTCCTCTAGCAGCTCATTCCGTACAAGCATAACCCACTTCTGGGAACATGGGTTCAAAACCCACCATGGCAGATGATAAAATTTGAATTGAGTTAAAATCGGGTGAAAATAAAAATGTCATGGTAACCACTGTTAATTGGTGTAAAGACCTATCTGGTTCTTTAGGGAGGGAAATCTGCCATTCTTGCCTGGTCTAGCCTGCATGTGATTCAAGACCCAAATCAACGTGACTGACTCTTAACTACCTTCTGGGGAATTAGGGATAGACAATAACTATTGGTCTAGCCAGTATCACCCATATCCCATCAGCAAATATAAAAAAAAAGACCCATTTTGTTTTAAAATGGTGACCTGTAGTTCTAGTTTCTCTCACAAAAGGAAACATCCTCTCCACATTAACCCTGTCAAGCTCCCACAGGATGTTCTATATTTCCATCAAGTCACCACATGCTCTAGAAGATTCACACTTAGCCTGCCAACCTCCTTCAGAAGACAGACTAACCATTTCAGGTATAAATCCAGCAAACCTTCTCTGAACTCATTTTGATATATTGACATCCTTCCTTAAATAAGGAGACCAACACAGTTGACAGTACTCCACTTGTGGTGTGACCAATGCCCTGTATAATTCAAACATAAATCCTCTTTTGTATTAAATTCTCCTTTCAATAAATAATAACATTCTATTAGCTTTTCTAATTACTTGCTATACCTGCACAGTGATGTGCTGTAATTCATTTATTACAACACCCACATCCCTTTGCCTCTCAGAACTCTGGCATCACTCATAATTTAGATATGTATCTTTTTGTATTCTTCCTGCCAAAATGGGAACAACCTCTCTCTCAACATTGGCAAAACTACAGAGCTGATCATTGACTTCAGAAAGAAAGGAGGAGACCACGTCCCCATCTACGTCAACGAAACTGAGGTTGAGAGGGTGGAGAGCATCAGGTTCCTTGGAGTGACAATCACTAATAACCTGTCCTGGACTTGTCATGTAGATGCGACGGTCAAGTGGCACAACAATGCCTCTTCTTCCTCCGGCGGCTCAGGAAATTTGGCATGTCCATCACCAACTTCTACAGATACGTTGAAAGCATACTATCCAGGTGCATAACAGCCTGGTATGGCAACTACCGTGCCCAGGACTGTAAGAAACTACAGAAGGTGGTGTGCACAGTCCAGATCATCGCAGAAACCAACCTTCCATCCATGGATTCCATTTACATGAGTTGCTGCCACAGGCTGCCAACATCGTCAAAGACCCATCACACCCTGATAATGATCTCCTACAACCTTTTCCATCAGGCAGAAGATACAGATGCCTGAACACACGCACAAGCAGGTTCAATAAGAGCTTCTTCACAACCGTTATTTGACTGATGAATAGACTCTCTAGCCTCAAATAATGCTGATCTCACTAATGTTGATCTCGCCTAGCGCAAGCCCTGTGCAATGTAACCCATATGCCTCTAAGTCTTTTTACAACCTCTGATCTGTACATCCTTGCTTACTATGATCTGCTTGTACCGCTCATAAACAAAGCTTTTCACTGTACTTCATGAATACAATAAATCAATCAATCAAAATGGACAATTTCTCAGTTTCCCACATTATATATTTGCCAGATCTTTGTGCACTCATTTAATCTATCAACATCCTTTTGTGGCCTCTTTATGTCCTCTTCACAATTTCCTTTTCTAGCTTTGTATCATCAGCAAATTTAGCAACAACACCTTTTGTTTCAGTGATTTACATAAATCTTAAAAAAAACATTTGTTATATCTTGCCAAACAGGTGATTATGCCTAGTCTTTGTTTCCCAATGGCTGGCCAATTTCCTATCTTCTAATTTGCCAGTCTCTCCAAATTCAATAGCAAATATCAGTGCTGTTACCATCAATTAATAAGTCAAAACTAATTTTATATATATAGTGCTTGCAACAGCACTGACAACCTCATTTCAATCCTGAAATGTTTCCTTTACCATCTATCCATGGGTAGAGTGGAATTGCTGATTTGTGCAGTGTCAACTGGCAGAGTCTGGAAGAATCCAGTGATAAACACATTTTGTGCTGTTGTTACCTTGACAACCACAGGCAACCTCTTGAATAAAAACAAAATATTCTGGATGCTGAAAATCTGAAACAAGCAAAGAATGCTGATGAAACTCAGCAGGTCTAGCAGCATCTGTGGAGAAAGAAACAGTCCAGTATGACTCCTTCAGAACTGAAGTGTGTTGGAAGATTTTTTCATATACTTCTGACAAAGGCAGAGGAGGAGCAAGGGAGCAGATAGTGGAGAGGCCCAATGCAAAAGACAAAGGGGTTGTTAATGGTGGTAAAACAGTGAAAAATATTGTAAAATGGGTGTGAATTAAGGTGTGAAAAAGAGAGAATTAGTCCTCTCTATAAAATCTAATTTGGTTGAAGACCTCATTTGGCTGAATTTTGGCTGAACTTTACAGCCTTGAGGTTTCAACTTTGAATTACGTAACTTTTGAAACTGTCATGGCTGTTCTCCATTTTTTCTTCCATTCTCTCTTCCACCACCACCACCACCCCTCAAACATACGGACACACAGCATAGATAGCAAGAACTGCAGATGCTCAAGTCCGAAACAACACAGTGTGGAGCTGGAGGAACACAGCAGGCCAGGCAGCATCAGAGGAGCAGGACAGTTAACGTGTTGGGTCAAATTTCTGAAGAAGGGTCCCGACCCCAAATTTCTGAAGAAGGGTCCCGACCCAAAACGTCAACTTTCCTGCTCCTCAGACACACAGCATAGTCTTGTTTACTTAATAGAAAATACCTATTTTGTCTCTTTCATAGTTACTGTGCAGGATTGGTTGCAGTGGCATAGGGCTGAGATAAATTCACAACTGATTTAAACCTTTGTAATCCATTAGATGCACTATTAATGCCCCCCATACTTTTCAGTACCTTTGTACTCTTCTTCTCCTATTGTTTCTGCTGCTGCTGTTCTTTTCCTCTTGCACCATGTAGTTGCCAATGTAACTCCCACGTTGAAGAGGACTCATCTGTTGAATCTTAAAATAAAAAGTGGTTAAAAAATCCTCTCTGCAAAATACACAGCTCTTCACCAACCAGCACTTATTTACACATGTCAATTTCCCTCCGATTGTCCATAATTTACTTCCTTTACCAGGCCCTTCACTGAGCAGTTATACTGACTAGCCAGTGAAAATAGACAATAGGACCTTATTGACATTATTAGGTCCACTTACAATGGGCGGATACCTAGACTATTCATGTCCATCTAGCAGTGGAGACAATATGTATTAGATCAGGGAAGTAAGCGAAGCATAAACGTGTGCACTAATTTATTACCTTGGAGTACGAGACAAAGCAAGTGGAAATAGGCATAATTTTCCCCAGTGGACTATAACCAGAAACTTAAAGAATTTTGCTTCTGATGTTGACACAAATTACAGATAGTTATAATAGCCATTAATTATTTATTTTACTTCATGACTATAGTTATAGATAAACCTTCCTCTGAACTTTTTTTTAATGTATGGGAGAGATTGTAATTTTTTGACATGATTTTAAAATGTTTCTCTTATTCTGTATTCCTAGATTGTGGCTTGAATGTTCATAAGCAATGTTCCAAGATGGTTCCAAATGATTGCAAACCAGACCTGAAGCATGTGAAAAAGGTCTACAGCTGTGATCTGACAACATTAGTTAAAGCACATAACACAAAAAGACCAATGGTGGTGGATATGTGCATTAGAGAAATTGAAAACAGAGGTAGGAACCAATAGCCATCCTTGGATTATGAGCAGTCATTGATAATTTCCATGGTAAACAATTGGATAAGTTTTTAACTGTAAAAAACTATTCTAATTAAAGGCATTTGACCTTTCAAACCATTTACTACTGATGCATTCTGTGCATTCACTTTGTGCTAAGATTTGCTTAATAAGACCAAAGGAGAGGCCAGTAGGTCTGCTCCAGCATTTGATCTTGGCTAATGTTTCTCAACCTCATTCTCCTGTCTTCTCCCCATAATCCTGGTTCCCTTTACTAATCAAGAACCTATCTATCTCTGTCCTGAATACACTCAATGCATTGGTCCCCACAGCCCCTGAGGCAGTGGGTTCCACAGAGTCATCATGCTCTGGCTGAGAAATTCCACCTCATCTCAGTTCTAAGGGGGTGCCCCTTCACTCTAAGGCTGTGCCCTTGGGTCCTAGTCTGTCCAACTCATGTAAACATCTTCTCCACATCCATTGTATCCAGGCCTATCAGTATTCTGTAAGTTTCAATCAGAATCCCCCTTATCCTTCCAAACTCCATCAAGTACAGACCCATAGTCCTCAACCGCTCCTCATATGACAAGCCCTTCATCCCCTGAATCATTCTTGTAAACCTCCCAATGTACTCCCTCCAATGCTAGCACATCCTTCCTTAGATATCGGGCCCAAAACTGCTCACAATATGCGGTCTGACCAGAACCTAAAGCTGCATATACATTAATGAAGGGATGAATATTCTTTAACTGTTTTATTAAAACCTAAGCACGCCATGCTTGAAAAGATACAGCTGTAGAATTACCAAACTTGATTAATTTTAAATATAAATACTTACGAATTGTGCGTTTGGTAAATTGAGCATTCTAATAAGGTCTTACATTATTTTTAATTGGAAAATAAGGTTTGCAGATGTGATTTAATCTCAGAAACCATTTTGTGGAGTTGCAGTTCTCTGAGAATAATTATGTGTGACGGGATATGAATAATTGTTTTAACAATCTGTATGCATGTTACCAAACAGATTCTTGGACGGCAGGACTGGCATAGGAAGAGAGAAAAATTTGGTTAGAACTATGTTCACTGGAGCTCAGGAGAGTGAGGCGGAACCTCGTAGAAACCTAAAATTTCAAACAGGACCAGACAGAGAAAACTCAGAAAAAATATTCCTGATGACGGGGGGTTTGAGAAACAGCATCACAGTCTAAGGAGATGGTGTTGGCCATTTAGGACTGAGATGAGTAGAAATTTCTTCACCCAGAAAGTGGTGAGCCTGTGGAATTCTCTGCCACAGAAAGGGACTGAGGGCAAAACATTGAATGTTTTCAAGAAGGAGCTTGATATAATGCATGGGGGTATAGAGATCAAAGGATATGGGAGAATCTGGAAACAGGGTACTGAGTTGCATCATCAGTCATGATCACATTGAATGGCTGAACTAACTCAAAGGACCAAATGATGTACTTCTCCTATTTTTCTATTGTTTCTATATTGTTCTATATTTTTCTATTGCTTTGCTGCAGATAAGCTCAACTGTGAGTGCATAGCTTGTTCAACTGCAGTGATAATAACTCTATCACAGCCATGCCTATTGTTGCAATAATGATTATATTCTTGCATGCAAGGAAATTTGCCAAAATACATATGCTACATTCTAATATTCTGTGAAGTGCAGATGTAGGTGTGATTGATAACTTGCTTCAGCTGACAGTCATCAGTTAGCACATGATATCACTTCCAAAAGAGGGCTTTCAAGAGAAATTGTACATCTAAGAAAAAATGGTTTTAAGGGTACCAAAATTGACATTGAGAGTAAACTACACAAAAATAAGAAAAATTCTTTGCATTTATGTCAAGTCTTTCAAACCATAGGACGTTCTGACACATTTTCCAAACAATAACCTGAGATTCTGTCCCTGCAGGTGAGAAGCTCGGGTTGGGGAACCCCCTGACTCGGCAGATATGTTTCCATGAAAATTACCTTTGCCTGTGCAGTTTTTGCTATTGTTTCCAGATGCATTTCAGTGACAACCACAGTGACGTGCAAGTGCTGAGGTGGGCTGGTTAGAAGGACCACCTCTATTATGTGAGGTTTCACACTTTTATAAAGAGTTCTTAGGTGCTGTAACCCTCACCCCCACCCACATCCACAACCTGTACCCTCTTAAAGGACAGATAGTTTGTGATGCAGAATGACACCGACAATGTGGGTTGAATTCCTCGAACAGCTGAAATCACAATGAAGGCCCTGCCTGTTCAACCTCACCCTCAGTTAAGACATGGTGACCCTTGCATTAAACTCACCACCAGTCATCTCTCTCTAATATGGGAGCAGCCTCTAGAATTTTGGCGATTTTCATTCTTTGAGTTTTAAGTTTCCCAATTGCAGAATTTACACCCTGACTCCTTACCTCTGCTGGGGAAAAAAAAAGTTTTCATAACCAGATGGACCTTCCCCATCTGCCCACAGTTTTTAAAGGTCTCCAGAATCAGCCCAACCTGTGAAAAGCCATCCAGTGTTTATGACATATAGTGAAACACAATTGAATAAATTAATTTAATTATGTTGTTGTGAAAAATGTAATATTTTTGTTGGATTCTTTATTTCTAAGCTTGTGCAAGAAAAATATTGAATTAACAATGAAAAATTATATTGAAAGCTTACATTGCAGGTCGGGACCCTTCTTCAGAAATGGGGAGAGGGAAGGGAGCTGGGACATAGAGAGAGGGGGGGCTGGGGCTGGGGCTGGGGCTGGGGCTGGGGAAGGTAGGTGGGATGGTGATAGGTGAATGCACGTAGGGAGTGGTGGGTATTGGTCAGTGGGATTGGTGGGGTGGATAGTTGGGAGAGAAGATGAACAGGTTGTGTCAGGTCGAGGAGGGAGGGTGCGTGGGGTTGGAGAAATGTAGGTGGGATGGCGATAGGTTGGATGCTCCCACGAGGAGCTTAAACAGTTCATCAACCTCAAATTCACCTGGACCATCTCCGATACCTCCCTCCCCTTCCTGGACCCCACTGTCTCCATCTTAGGTAACTGCTTCAACACCGACATCTATTTCAAACCCATCGACTCCCAAAGCTACCTGGACTACACCTCCTGTCACCCACCCTCCTGCAAGAATGTGATCCCTTACTATCAATTCCTCTGCCTCCGCTGCATCTGCTCCCAAGATGAAGCATTCCACTCCCTGATATCTCAGATGTGCTCCTATTTCAAGGACCGCAACATCGCGCCCCCACTCCCGTCCCAGTGATCAAAAATGCCTCAACCGCATCTCTTGCATTTTCCACACTTTTGGCCTCAAACCCCACCCCCCCAACAAAAATAAAGACAGAATCTCCCTGGTCCTCACATATCACCGACCAACCTCTGCATCCATCGTATCATTCTCCTCCATTTCTGCTACCTACAGTCCGACCCCATGACCAAAGAGATATTTCCCTCGCCACCCCTATCTGCCTTTCGTAGGCACCACTCCCTCCGCAACTCCCTCTGCAACTCCCTCTCCGCTACACTCTCCCCATTTACCCCAACACACCCGACACCTTTCCCTGCAACTGCAGGAATGTTATACCTGCCCCGACACCTCCCCCCCCACCTCTATTCAAGGCCTAAAGCAAACGTTTCATTTCTGATAGGGGTTCACCTGTACATCCTCCAACTTGGTCTACTCTATCCATTGCTCCCAATGTGGCCTCCTGTACATCGGTGAGACCAAGCATAGAATCGGAGACTGTTTTGTAGAGCATCTGCGTTCTGTACACAACAAACGACAACACCTTCTGGTCGCCAACCATTTTAATTCCCCCTCCCCTCCCTGGGCGATATGTCCATCCTGGGCTGCCTCCAGTGCCACAATGACTCTACATGCAAACTGGAGGAGCAACACTTCATATTCCGCCTTGGGAGCCTACGGCCCAATGGCCTAAACATAGAATTCACCAGTTTTAAAATCTCCCCAACCCCGACTTCATCCCATGTGCAACCCTTCCTCTCATCCCTGCCTCCTTGACCCGACACAACCTGTACATCTTCTCTCCCAACTATCTGCCCCACCCATCCCACTGACTAATCCCTACCACTCCCAATCTGCATTCACTTATCACCATCCCACCTATCTTCTCACGGCCCCACGCCTCCTCTCTGTTTATTTCCCAGTTCCTTTCCCCCTCCCCATTTCTGAAGAAGTGTCCCAACCCAAAACGTCAACTTTCCTGCAACTGACTCATTGCCCATCAAGAAAGCTTACTGGATTGTGGTTAAGAGCTAACTGGTAAGCTTACCTGCCAATTGCAAGTCTTTAACAGTAAAGTCCCAGCTTGCCAAAGGCTTCTAATTAATCAAACATAGTAAGAACTGCTGATGCTGGAATCAGAGATAAAGTAACACAGTGTGGAGCTGGAGCAACACTGTAGGCCAGGCAGCATCAGAGGAGCAGGAAAGCTGACGTTTCGGATTGGGACCCTTCTTCATTTCTTGAACACACTGTGTTGTCTCTGACTCCAGCATCTGCACTTTTTGCTCTCTCCATAATGAAAGTTTGATTGATTCTCCTTTTTCACTGATAGATTTTTATAGTCAAGCTATTTTTGAAAAAAATTGAATTGGTTTTTTATTTATCCATCAAGCCAAATCCCAGACTGAAATCTGGCTTGATAGATCATAGTTTGTCTTGGTTTTAATGCGTTGGTGTCTCACTGAGATAGAGCAATGCAATGTTTTAACAGTAACACAGAAGTTCATTGAGCAAAAGAGATGAAAACAAAATATAATAAACTCATCTATTTGCTCTTATACCAATTCAAAGAGTTCTAAACATACAGTAAAGGTATAATCCAAAAATATTCCTTTTGCAAGTTTAGGTAAAACTGAAAGAGCCCTTGTATGGTACCCAACGGCAAGGCAACCCTTATACAGTGTTCATGTTAGGATGCCATTTTCTAACATGTAGATAGGTTTGCATTTGCAGTGACTTTAGTTTCTAGACTAGATCCTCTGACAGTTTATTCCAGGAGCTATAACAAATCTGAAACAAACTCCGCTTTAAGTCCTCTTCAGAATTGTATCCCAAAACTTCAGATGACTATCATTAATTCCTTACTCTAGTTTATTGTATTCTCCTTTTCTCAAACACTGTTCTCTCCATGCATTTCCCTGCAAGTACTTCATAGAAGTGCCCAAGATTATTTAAAACTGAAACACAAAATCTCCCTTTCTAAGCTATGGGTGTTTACCAAAAGTTTAAAAATTTCTAACAGACCTTAAAGCAAAACAATTCACCCTACTAAGTCATAAAATATAAAGTACAAACCCGCCCTCTCAAACAGTTTAAAAAAAATCATGATGGCTACAAAAATACTTACAAGTTAATGATTAACTTGAGGCACACAGAAAGCCCATATATTACAAATTCAAAACTGAAACTTAAATAATATTAGACGATATCTTGTTATAATCTACAATACAAACTATTTTATCAAAGGCATTGGTTTGCTGTGAATGGAAGAAAGAACTTGCATTTATATGTTGCATGTTACCTTTCACCATTTCAGGATGCCCCAAAGCAAATATAGAATCATATATAATCCCTACAGTGTGGAAACAGGCCCTTCGGCCCAACAAGTCTACACTGACCCTCGGAGCATCCCACCCAGACCCATTCCCCCCATAACCCACCTCATCTACACATCCCTGAACACTATGGGCAATTTAGCATGGCCAATCCACCTAGCCTGCATATCTTTGGACTGTGGGACAAAACCAGAGCACCCAGAGGAAACCCACGCAGACACAGGGAGAATGTACAAACTCTATACAGACGCTCGCCCGAGGGTGGAATCGAACCTGGGTCCCTGGCAGCAGTGCTAACCGCTAAGCCACTGTGCCGCCCAGTGAAATGTTTTGAAGTACAGTTAACATTGTAATGTAGGAAAAGCAGCAACTAATTTTTACAAGACTGTCCTACAAATGGCTTAGATTCTGTGATAATATGACTGTTTGCATCTCTAGGAGAGGATCAAGCTGCAGGGTCCAAATTATACTTGATTAGAAGTTGAATTTTTATCAATATGTGCAAATATCAGAATGCAAATGTAGACAGCTTGGTGGTGTCAGAATAATGGCTACTGGCAATCATTCATAGTTTTGAAGTGCATTCAAAGTAGGGTACAGGTGGTAATTTGGAGTACACTATTCTCTGACCAGGCAGATAGGCTCATTGCAGAAGTGATGGCATTTATAGTGGTGTAGCAGCCATTGGTGAAGATGTAACAAGATGTGGGGTTGGATTAGTGATATGATCATCCATGAGCTTAGTATGGCATGGTTAGCACCCAAAGAGACAGAAGTGTGGAAGGAATGCAGAGACAAATGTAAGGGATGCCCATTTTTGAAAGACACAAAACAGTTGACAAGTGATAAACAGAATTAAAAGCCTGCTGCAGCATTTAAGTGAGACACAATGGTACCTTTGAGAAGTGATTAATCTGAGGAAAAAGGGAAGCCTACATAAACAACAGAATTCAGGCAGTCCTTAGAGAAAAGCAAGACTGGGACATGTCTGAAGGAGTACAGCCAGTAACTTTGGAATGTGAATTAATAGGATACGTAGAAAGATCTCAAGGCCTGGAGATTACAACGTCTGTTAAACACCGTGAGATCAAAGGAACCTAGGGCTGTCCACAGGAGTGTCCAGCATTGGTTAGTGTTTCACAGGATTGGATGTATAGAATAAGGGGAAGGGCACAGTAACTACATTGTATGTGATTATTGTAACATAAAATGTATTGTATTATACTCTAAGCACCGGAGCATCATTGATCTTTCTTCCGATCTGAGCTAAAGACTAAGGAATAACTGCGTTCTCATGTTGAGACCAGATTCAGGGTCATCCTTGGCCCTCTCCCTGCATGACCCAGTACTTGCTTGAATAAGAGTAGACTGCCACATGCCTGAATTCTGCCTGTTTCCTGAGTCTTTGTCCTAGGTAGGGCTTTTGCTCCAACAGATTGCCGAGCCAGACAAAATCAACCAACTCATTGGAAGAATGATAGACAAGGGGGTTAGTATGGATCCCACAGCTCATGAAGGAGGACAAGTAACTTGCATCCACATATTTGGAGGCAGGTAGTTCAGAACAAGACCAAAGGCATAAGTCTGAAACTCAGCCTGAGGAGTGACAAGAACTCGGGTGGGGTGGTGGTGAATACTTTAAAGAGAGAGTTCAGAAACTGGGCAGGCTTTTGAAAAAGTATTTTCAAATTATTCTTGTATGTTTGACATTCCTTTTGTTTTATTTATCAGTAACTCGATTTCCACTTTTTAACAGAAACAAAGTTGCTAGAAAAGCCCAGCAGGTCTGGCAGCATCTGTGAAGGAGAAAACAGAGTTAACGTTTCGGGTCCGGTGACCCTTCCTCAGAACCGGACCTGAAACTTTAACTCTGTTTTCTCCTTTACAGATGCTGCCAGACCTGCTGAGCTATTCCAGCAACTTTGTTTTTGTTCCTGATTTACAGCATCCGCAGTTCTTTTGGTTTTTATTTCTACTTTTTAACATCTTGTTCAATCCTTCAAGTGCTAATATGTTTAAATTCAGCATAAAATAGTAGTTTTATGCAATCATCTAGAACTAGAAGTTAACAAGTAGAAGTAAGCGCTCTAACATTAGTTAAGGTTTAAAATATTAAGTCCCTTTCATAGTCCCTCTACAAGTATTAGAAATAAAAGTGTAATTAAGATAATTGCCATCAGGTTTTGAATGCATTTCAAATGGAAGATATTGATCAAAGTACCATTTTTGATATCTAAGATGTAATTCCTTTGGAGTAATTTTTTATTGTTATTGCTTTTTTATTTGTATCAAAGTCAAATTGCCATCTCTGTAACATCACTCAACTACAGCCCCGTCTCTCCTCATCTGCTTACAAAACCATCGTTCATGTCTTCTTTATCTCTAGACTTGACTATCAGTGCACCCCTGGCTGGACTCCCACATTATACCTAATGTAAACTCAGCTGTCCATTTCTGACTCACACCAAGTCCCATTCTTTACCATCCAGTGTTCTCTATTTTCATTGGCTCCCAGTCAAGCAAGTCTGAAATGCCTGCACTCTTCTAATTGTGGCCTCTTGAGAATTTCTAATTATAATTGCTCCACTTAGTGTCCTAGTCACCAAGATCTGGTATTCCTCCCTTAACGTCTCTGCCACTCTACTTCACTTCCATCTTTTGAAACATGCCTCTTTGACCAAACCTTTGGCAATCTAATATCTCTATACTTGGCTCAGTTTCATATTTTGTTTTATAATGCTGTTGTGAAAAACTACAACATCAATTGAAAGCACTATGTAAATATAAATTGTTGTCCCTGAAGAATAATTTTTATTCAAATTTTATGTTTTGTAGGTCTAATGTCTGAAGGTTTGTACAGAGTATCAGGGTTTAGTGATCTAATTGAAGATGTCAAACTGGCATTTGACAGAGGTATGTCTGGTTTCATTTATGGCATTTTTATGAAACTAAAAAATGAATTGCCAAATTTCCAACTTTTTACTTTGTAATCACATAAATTAGATGTGACAGAATCTAATTGGAGGAAATGGTGGCTGAAAAAGAAGGTATACTTTTAACGGAGACTGAAAATTCAGATCTTTTTACTTCATTTAAGGATATCAGATACTAAACTTCTAATCAAAAGCAAAAAGTCCGATTAAAGCTGCAAAATCATATTTAGAAAACCTGTTTTAATATCTTGTTCCCAAACAAAATTTTCTATTTGAGTGAAATAGTTGGTTCTGCATCATAGAAAGAAATGAACTTACAACACTGCAGATTTTCATCATCTTTGGGAGAGTGCAAAAGGAACATAATGGTTCTGTTGCCTGCTTTTGTTATATAACTTCGTATCATGTGATCTAATATTTGTAAGAAAATATTCTTGAAAGATTTTCCTTCCCAAAATGCACTTTAGCTTGTACATGAATGTATAGAAGATCATTTTCATTGAGTCATAGAATCCCTACAGTGCTGAATGGGGCTGTTCAGCACATCAAGTCTGTGCCAACCCTTTGAAGAGTATCCCATCAATACCCGGCCCTCTGCCCTATCCCCATAACCCCACATTTACCATGGCTATTCCAACTAACCAGCACATCCCTGCACACTGCAGACAATTTAGCACAGCCAATTCACCTAACCTGCACTGTGGGAGGAGACCAGAGCACCCAATAGAAACCCATGCAGACATGGGAAGAACGTGCAAATTCCACACAGTCACTTAAGGCTGGAATCGAATCTGGGTCCCTGGTGTTGTGAGGCAGCAGGGCTAACCACTGAACCACTGCGTCATCCAATCAATTTTGTCAGTCAATATGTTGAAGAATAAATTAGGCAAAAGCTTGTTCTAGGTCCAGCATTGTGTCATGAAAAGGGGTTCATTAATGACCTTGTGTTAAGGGGACCTATATGGAACAGTGATAATATGTTTGAATTCTGTATTGAGCTTGAAAGTGATACAGTTAAGTCCAAAGCTATGGTATTAAATCTGAACAAAGCAGACCATGTAGGTATGAGGGGCAAGTTATTTAAGGTGGGTAACTAGATGAAAAGATATGACAGTAGATAAACAACATTGAATGTCGAAAGAAACAATCATTATTTGAAGCAGTTGTGGATGCTGTTAAGGAAAAATAATACCTATGCAAAAATGACTAATATGAGAGGTTAAAAATAGATCAAAGGGGGAAAATTATAAAGTTGCCAATAAGTGCAGTCATAAAATTGGAAAGGTTCTAGAATTTGGTGAAAGATTAGCAAGAGATTGATAGAGAAAAGTAAATATGAGAGTAAAATAGCAAGAGATAAAAAAAATTGCAAGAAGGTTCTATAGGTATGCAAAAAGGAAGAGGTAAACAAAAAATGTTCACTCCCAAATCAGGAAAATTCTTGAATCCACAAACCCAAATGCCTTGAACGTTGTTAACTTTGGTTCCAGCAATGCAGTGGCCCCACAGGGACTGGCAGGTTTGGAAGCATGCTGTTTAAAAGGCTGGCCTCAGTGAGCCATGTCTGTGCCAAATGTTAAAAATGCCCTCCTGCTTCCATCCCACATATCCTGTAACCTATTCACATACTGTCCCATCCATGACCTCAGTTACTGTCCATGGCCTCTCAAAACCCTCTGTCAGCCTATGATCCCCAACCATCTACATAACATACCAGCCTACCCATCACCATGGCCTTCTATTTCACTATACCAACTTAGTGTCAATGCATGTCAATACATGCAGCCCAGCTCCCCCACTTCGTTTGCCCTTGTATCCTTCATACTGATACACACAGTATCCACTATGCGCAGACCTCCGGACACATGCCGAGATTGAATAAAGTTCGAAGTGTCTGTTTTAGAATTCACTGTCACTTATTTCACCAACTTAATCCCTTATAAAAACTAGCATTTGTATTCTTATCCACACATAGAAGACTTTATAACAACTTGAAAGTGTTGATCAAACTGTGAATTGACAAAATGATAGGCTGCAAAATCAATAACGCAGCACAAATCCTATTATGACAGCCCTTAAGTTTATATCTACAGACAGAGTGAACTAACAAGCACTCAATTTTTTTAATTGCAGGCAATACTGCGTACAGTTCTGGTCGCCCTGCTATAGGAAGGATATTATTAAATTGGAAAGGGTGCAAAAAGTATTTGCAAGCATGTTACTGGGACTGGAAGAGCTTGAGTTATGAGGAGAGGCTGGATAGGCTGGGACTTTTTTCCCTGTGGCATTGGAGGTTGAGAGATGACCTTATATAGATTTATAAAATTATGAGGGGCATAGATAAGGTGAATAGTAAATGTCTTTTCCCTAAGGGAGGGGAGTTTAAAATTAGAGGGCATAGTTTTAAAGTGAGAGGGGAAAGATTTAAAAGGGACCTGTGGGGCAACTTTTTCAAACATAGGGTGGTGCATGTATAGAATGAACTGCCAGAGGAAGTAGTGGATGCAGGTACAGTTACAATATTTTAAAGAAATTTGGACAGGTACATGAATAGAAAAGGTTTAGAGGGATATGGACAAAATCTGGGCAAATGTGACTAGTTTAATTTGGGAAATCTGTTTGGCGTGGATGAGTTGGGCTGAAAGGGTCTGTTTGCGTACTATGTGACTCTATGACTCCAGGAGATTTAATTACCTTGACAGCTTGACAGCTCAAGGAGAATTTAAATTCCTTGCTAATTTAACAGTTAATTTAAATTTTCTTTTTTTTTTAAACATACATTTGCTGCTACTTTTAACAATTCCAAAGTGTACTTGAATGCTCCCAAAGGGCATCTGACATCTCATACTATCCAAAGGTATCTAACTGAAGTAAGCTGCACTGTTACATGCACAGTTGCTTCTGTGAACCATGCAGACTACAAGCCAACCCTGTTGCCCTCTCTGGCATATTTGGGGTCAGAATTTTGAGAATCCGGGCTCCAGCACCATTTTCACTAAGCTGGGGACCCTTCCATCATTGTGAAATTCAGCACTTTCAACAGACAAAAACCATTCCAGAAAAGGTGGGGAACCAAGCATTCTAACAAAAACTTAAATTAGTACAGTACGATAATATGTCCTAAAGTCAACAAAGTCCTGGACGTAATGATCTACATACTAGGATTTTAAAAAGTCAACTGAGTCTTCTATATCGTTATCTAACTCTGACCAGCAAAGATAGCCCCTCACTAAACTCTTTGCCAAACGTAAGCAAAATGTTGACCATGAAGATCAGATAGCAACTGTCATCTGTACATCTCAGGAGTTGCAGCTCTGGCCCCCCAAATGACATAACTTGTATCAACTGACAGTTCACTCTAATGCATAAAAATTGGCCTAATTTCTAAACCCAATACTTGTGTTGACTACTCGTTTGCAATGTAGTTGTACTCCTTTTCCAACATGAGATCCCTTTGAGTTGTTCAGCCAAAGTCACCTATTGTGACTGTCAATTTATCTACACATGTAAAAGAAATACATCTTCCCTTTGGGCATTTAGTCCAGTGACAATAATCTAAAAATCACAAGCATTACAATAATTTTTTGAATGTAATATTGTATTTATAAGCAGAGAAAATCAAAGCTTATCTCTGCATTCAGACTGCAGTGAAATTGAGTACTGGTATGGAGTCAAAATCAGTGTGTCTTCTGATTAATTTTGATTGTGAAACGATGAAGACGATACAATTTTTTAATGAATCACTATCTTGTATAATTTATCTTAGTATTTCACTAGACCGCAATTATGATTTCAGTTCGGAGATGCTCTGACATTGTGTACATTTCTTATTGCTTGAACCTTACTCTTGATAAATGTGAAGTCATACATTTTGGTAGGAGTAATAGTAAAAAGGATTATTACTTGAATGGTAAAAAGTTGCAGCATGCTGCTATGCAGAGGGACCTGGGTGTCCTTGTGCATGAATCACAGAAGGTAGGTCTGCAGGTACAACAAGTAATTAGGAAGGCAAATGGAATTTTGTCCTTCATTGCTAAAGGGATTGAAATAAAAAGCAGAGAGGTTATGTTGCAGCTGTACAAGGTGCTGGTGAGGCCACACCTGGAGTACTGTGTGCAGTTTTGGTCTCCTTACTTGAGAAAGGATGTACTGGCACTGGAGGGGGTGCAAAGGAGGTTCACTAGATTGATTCCGGAGTTGAGGGGGTTGGCTTATGAGGAGAGACTGAGTAGATTGGGATTATATTCATTGGAATTCAGAAGATCGAGGGGGGATCTTATAGAAACATATAAAATTATGAAGGGAATAGATAAGATAGAAGTAGAGAGGATGTTTCCACTGGCAGGTGAAGCTAGGACAAGAGGGCATAGCCTCAAGATTAGAGGGAGCAGATTTAGGACTGAACTGAGAAGGAATTTCTTCACCCAGAGGGTTGTTAATCTATGGAATTCCTTGCCCAGTGAAGTAGTTGACGCTACTTCAGTAAACGCTTTTAAAAAAAAGGTAGATGTTTTTTGAACAATAAAGGAATTAAGGGATACGGTGAGAACGCGGGTAAGTGGATCTGAGTCCACAAAGGGATCAGCCATGATCTTATTGAATGGCGGAGCAGGCTCGAAGGGCCAGACGGCCTACTCCTGCTCCTAGTTCTTATGTTCTTATGTTCTTATGTATTCCATCTTTGTCTATATTGTGGCTCAAGTACTGTACGGAGTTTTGAAATATTTCACATTTGCATGCTTTTGCCCAAACTCCATGGTGTTTCAAATATTGGAGAACCTCTTTCAGTCTGTCAACATGGCTGTAACTGTTTGGAACTGAAATAAGTATGCCATTCATTCAGCATATTACTCCCAGAATTCCTTTGCAGATTCTAGGGGTTAAAGAAGCACCAAATGGCAGCCAATGAAACTGAAACAGACTCTCGTCAAATGTGGCTTAGACCCACATCTAACTCAAGTCAGATCTAATTTTGAAAAC